GTGTGTGTGTGTGTGTATACATATATACAAACACATACACCCATATATATATAATATATGTTTGTGTGTGTTTTATTTATAAAAAGCATCTCTTCGGAGATCCTGTCTTGTCGTCAAATGTTTATAAGAATGGGGCGTATCATATTGATCTCTGTTATTCAATGACTAGTGCTGTTAAGCATGCACATAATTGTAAAGGAGTAGATGCTTGAATGAGCTTTAAATTCCCATCAAAGGCTCAATGGACCAGTTGGTTAACGCGTTTGTATAGACAGTAGAATTCCCGGGTTCGAGCCCCGGTTGGGGCACCTACTTTTTCTAACGTTAAGATTGATTATATATAGCATTATATATTAATATATATATATAGATTTATATATAGCATTACTTCAAGACAGTTTATTTTATTCCAATATATATATATATATATATGAAACACCGTGTAGTAGCCGGTTGTGTTCTATTAATATTATTATAATATATAATTATATATATATATATATATATATATATATATATATAAAACAAGAAATATGTCAAAGAAAAAATAAAGATCAGCCTCCACTGGGACTCGAACCCGGGAACTTTCACATACAAAACCTGTCCAAGATGATAGCGCATTAAACATTGCTGTTCATTCAGTACCTCACAATAGTCTCTAGAAATGTCTTCTAATATTTTAATCAATGTTAAATGTCAATAACAAATAGCACTGTGAATGTCATCAATAGATCGTTCATGACACCGTTCACTGACGTAAATCAGCGCAAGATAAACGAAGCCTACAGTAATACATGTACAGTAATTCTTTTGTATTTTCCAGCTATAAATTTGGTTTTCTATTCGATTGTTTTGTTACTGAAAAATGCGCCACGCGAAAAATTGCAGCAGGCGTGTGACTACAATTACCTGTTTGCTATGAGAAGCTGTTATGTGTTGATTTTATTTTTTTAAAATTTTTTTTTTATAATGCAGCATGTAGGTTAGGGTAGAACTGGTGATAAACGCATCGTGGTAGTTGTGTTGAGTGAGAGCTTCAGTATTACCGGTATTGTTTTGTAGGCTAATACATGTCGCCCATGGTATACCCTCAAACTGACTAAGTTAAAATTGACAATGGTGGCGTTTTTTTTCTAGCATTGAACTAATAACCTGAAAATGTATACCGTATTTAACTGCCTTTGTTCATATATTTTCAGGATTGTTCAATGTGAGATATGTCATCGGAATTAGAGTTGATGTTTGTATATTGAAAAGGTACGTGTTAAATGATATGGAGTTTAGAACATACAATGAACACAAACTTAATACATTGTACAAAATTCCGGTACTTTTTAAGTTGTTTGTACTGTGAATCATGGTGGCCCTACTGTTTTCTCACAATTTTTCATATTTCCTCAATGTGAGATGAGATGTCATTGTAGTGATATCTGTATATTGAAAGGGTATGTTTTAAAATATCTTCAACATTTGGAGTATAAATAATAATTATTTACTAATTAATGGTATTACACAAATTTGGTATTCCTCAGGAACCTTGTTTTTGTATCGGTAATTCATGATATTTGGTCAAACTCTTTCGAATCCCATTGTTCTTACAATTTATAATATAATAATCCTAATTATTATTTCGGTATTATATTCCGTAATATTCGTCCATTATCCCGTTCTATCGATCAAAGTGTGGAACACTAACTCCCAGCGGATGTTCAGGCTAGTTAATATTAGCGCTTCGTAGTATTAAAATCTACTGGTACACTACACCTGGTAGGAAAGAGACAATGTGAATGAGTGCTTATATATATTATAATATAACTTTACCGGGGCAAATAAGTCAATCGCAGTCTTTTTAGCTAACTACTGTTGCAGTCATCGGTTGCTATAGTGATATGATCAGTATACGTGTGCGTATTTACATAGCTGTGCGTTATGCTGATTTTTGCTCCTGCGCAGTACGTGTTTAATTAACTACACATCAGCAATAGAGTACGGATACGCTAAATAACTATTGTGTTAGAAAGAACTTGTTTGTAATGCTATTTTGATAGACTTTCGTCAGAGAAATAAACATTTCAGCATTCGAGAGAGAATACAGTCACTGACGTCCTTTTTTGTTCGGTGCATGCAGACAGGTAAAATCGTGCGATGATTTCATAACTAGGCTAGGCTACGGCCTAGTAGTAGTAGGTGGAGGCCCGGGCGGCCTCCTGCCTGGCCATAGGCCTACATCTAATTTTGTTCATTGAGTTTTTAAAATAGGTCTAGAATTTCCTATTAAACGTTCAGTTTGTTGTGTTTATGAGGGTCCATTGATTCAATGATTTCCTTAATTGTTCATACTAAATATTGAATTTGAAGTAAATTTCTTCGGGTTCTAATTAAGCTTGTTTTACAAAAGTAATTTTCAATTACAATTCAATTTTTATCGCGGTGCGCGATGTATTCGCGGTGACGAAAAAATGAGGAATTTTTTTTGCACACGAACCTAAAAAAAATCAAGCCAAGCGTCCACTAATAGAAAAATTAGTGGACGCTGGGGGAATAGGCAAATAACATTGGGAGTTACAGTGATGACGTCACGATTGACTTATAATGCATATTAAAATATAGACATCTAACCCCAAATTCTCAAACTCTCCATCATGTGTTGATAATTTGAAGTCGCCCCTCTGTTGCTCATGCATCCAAACAACTCGGCTTCTAAGCTGTGAACGACATTAAAGCATTTTTATTCATCTACTTTTTTTGAAGTGATGCGAATACTGGAACGCCATCTAGAGGAGTTTTATGAGAATGTGGTTTGGCATTTTCAAGAAAATATTGTTCAATAACTTTTCATTTTCATTTCTGATTTCATACAATATTTCAAAATTGACCACCAGATATTTTTTTTCCATAATACAATTGAAAGGGAGGCTTTCATTCATTTTGATGCATCCGTTAATTAGCAATAACCGAATAAAAAATAATCTAAATATAGTCATAGGCCTATTTATATATTTTTACTAAAAAAACAAATGATAAATCTTAAATTTTATATTTTAGTATTTTTCGTAAATTACATTATTATAATTGTAATTATTATTATTATTATTATTATTAATATCATTATTATTATTATTATTATTATTATTGTTATTATTATTATTATTATTATTATTATTATTATTATTATTAATATTATATAGGCCTATGTTGTATGTTATTGTGGGAGCAAAAACTAAGGACCACAAAGCTGTATTAAGACAGCCGCATGAAGAAAGAAGTAGGCCTACTACTGTAGCTCTTCATCTGTGGTGCTAGTTTAGATAAATGTGCAGATCAAGAATAGGTCTCTTTAGTCATCTGCGGGCTTGCAACATTCATATTTGAAATAATATATCAGTATCTTTATTCAAAACAACACAATCAAAAATACAAATTCCGTGGCAGCCAAAAGGCTGAATCGAGGTATTTATTAACAATAACATTTCATTTAACAACTGTACACATTCAAAAACGACAAGAAAAACATTTAAAAAATATAACATTAAATAGGAAAGAAGCCAAATTGAATAAAAAGAAAAACCCACACATAAGCTGCAGGTGACCCATACACGGGTGCTTTACACACGCGCAGCCAAGCATCAGAGCAAGGTAATTCGAAAGAAGGACGCACATCTCCCCGCTCTCGAACATAGCGCGTGCTTACAGTCCTTTGATGTTTACTATGGCACTGACAATCCGATACTAGTTGCGAGTACAGCCGTCAATTATTAGTCTATGCGTGCCATTCGTTCTATGGTGTTAGTTTTTATTTTATTAATTTTCGGTACTTCGCAATATCTGTTACATCTGATTTTTTTTACCTGCAATTTGATTTGTGAAAATTGACCAAGAAAATGAAAAGTTATAGCAATTTAAAATTTACGAATTTTATAAAATTTCATGTTCTTATGTAACATTAATCTGTCATTTTGACAATGTTGGCATAAGGTCTTATACACATCTAGATGTGTATAAGAGACAGACTCGGCTTCTAAGCTGTGAACGACATTAAAGCATTTTTATTCATCTACTTTTTTTGAAGTGATGCGAATACTGGAACGCCATCTAGAGGAGTTTTATGAGAATGTGGTTTGGCATTTTCAAGAAAATATTGTTCAATAACTTTTCATTTTCATTTCTGATTTCATACAATATTTCAAAATTGACCACCAGATATTTTTTTTCCATAATACAATTGAAAGGGAGGCTTTCATTCATTTTGATGCATCCGTTAATTAGCAATAACCGAATAAAAAATAATCTAAATATAGTCGTAGGCCTATTTATATATTTTTACTAAAAAAACAAATGATAAATCTTAAATTTTATATTTTAGTATTTTTCGTAAATTACATTATTATAATTGTAATTATTATTATTATTAATATCATTATTATTATTATTATTATTATTATT